TAGGAGATAGGCAGGCGGGGTTCGGTGTTTACTTCCATTGTCATTATCATTAAGTACCCTAAGACAGATATGTTTAGCTGATCAAGAGGAGCTTGTTTAGTAACAAGACATTACATGTTCTTACTTTTCATAGGTGTTGAATGGGGGGTTTATTTTCACCCGAATTTTTTCGGTATTCCGAGGTTATTCTTGAGACGAATTAATTGAAATTGTTTATTCAACTTCTCTCTCTAATCTGTCGTATATTCGCATATGTTTCATGGTTGCTGTGCACAGTGATGAATGTACATTGGGACTAAGGTGGTCCAGAACCACCGGGAGTTCAAAAATATACATGTTAAGGTCTTTTGAGGACCGTTCAAATGTTTGGTTTGGGTTTTTTTATGCCCACCAAGTGTTTTTGTAATATATGTTAGACATATTTCGCCAGCATTTAGAACGTTGTGCTGAGAGTAAATTCTCTCGATAGCACTCAACAGATTGCTTCGGCATTTGCCGACATCTGATGAAATATACGCAATATAGTTCAAGTGACGACAACAAATCCATGGTGTTAGACACAATGCCTCAATGAGTAAACAAATTCGTTTTTTTTTTTGCGTAATTCACGCTCTGTTTCTACTAAAAAATTAAATCTTTATACACTGAAACCCAATTTTCGAATCTAAATTCCCCACTGACTGGCTGTAGTTCCCTCTCGAGACAGGCTGTCGTGCAGGTCGATTCCTAGAAAACAAAACAGTTGGTGAAGGTGGTGCGTCATGCATGCAAACAATAAGGCATGTCGTTTTGGAATATCCTTCTTGCCAAATTTAAAAAGTTTAGTTTGGACGTCCTTTTTCAATTATCTGATCTGTCCGTAATCATTGGAGAAAGGATATCATTGCCAATATGAATTAAACAATTTCAAACACTTTCCTTGTCCACAGGCAACGCCGGAGTTCCAGTAACCTAGGCTGCTATCCACAAATTAGCCTACGACAACAGCACAAGTTGCACAACATGTTCTATTATTCATTGAGGAGAGCTAAGGAAACTGCAAGCCGTTAGATCTGTGTGGACCCCACAGTGAAAGCACGAGAAGATGTTATAATACCAAGTATCTCAAGCTAATCACACATTATTACGTGGGATAGTTAAAACACATGTAATACGTGATTTGAAATCTTTAATATAGATAAGTTTTTCTGGCAATGACTTGCATGTGCAGTTGTCTCTTAAGCAACTTGTATCTATTGTGGTACTGCTAAATTTGATCACACATGCAAATCAAAATGAATGTGATTCATATAGAGTTATCCTTCTAGACTTTCGGGTTTGGAGAGGCCTCTCACAAATGTAAAAAAGCAATGCAACAATGCTGCAAACACACTCACGAATCTATCTCCAAGCCATCATCTGGTCATTGTCTCAGCTGGTACTTAATTTGCTACTCTAGATTTTTGGTTTGATTTTGATGTTTGTTTGCTTGATGACGATGATGTTGAATTTTATGAATATGGGAATAATCAAAACCTTCTTTGTCATCACTTATTCACAATTATTGGAAATCAGAAGGATAACTCTAGTTTTTTCTATGTGAAAAAAAGTCAGGTAAGCTCAGGACCATTATGGTCTCTTCATGGCTCTGCCCCTGACAACAAGGAAGTTATGGTCACTTATCATTCAATTTTAATTCAACGGTAAGTGTTCATTTAATTTTCTTGTGTACTTTCCTTACTAATGGATTAAAATAAAACGGTGGTGGCCATGATTTTCTTAAACCTTGTAAGTCTAAAAGAATGAAACTCGTGATTCATATGTGATCGACACAGTTTATCATCATAATATTTTAGACTGTACCATAAAAAAATATTTCTAACTTTACCGCTGCTACAAGCGTGCCATATTTAAACTTCGATTCCAGCAATACCAGCGGAAGGTATTAAGCATGTTATATACAGAGACAAAACTTGCAGGCTTTGCAGGTTATTAGGTTTTTAATAAAATGGTGAATCTTCATGGCTAAGCTGTCATTTGCCTTAATTTATGCATCTCTCTCTCTCTCTCTCTCTCTCTCTCTCTGCAATGCCTTAACGGATAAGGAAGAAGTAGATCCGATCCAACTTATCCCAAGGATGGTTTCATTTCATGACATGGGCAATGACTGCAATAATTTATATGACGTACTAAATGCCGTGCAGGTGTTGTAAATCAAAAAGCAAAAACAAAAGCCAATTGCAAAGATGAGTGTTTTTTTAAACAATCATATTAATTTTTTAAATTCGACGAGACTAAGTAGGGTTAAAATAATTAGGGTTATTCGTCCCAAAAAAAAAATGGTTAGCGTTTGAACTATACTGGTCCCCTTCTCCAGTCTTCATCAACAACTATTATATATATTAACACCCTGCATTTAGGGTTTATAATAAACTGAGGTAAGCTGGTGAAGTTTAAATTATCTGGATTTAGAGTGTGACATGCAAGATATTTTAGTTGTGTTTCTTTTTAATAAGCTGCCAAATAATTGGTAACGAAGTCAAGATCCAGCTTTACCATCGGCATCATCACGTAAAAGTCAAGGGCTTTGGGTTTCTTTAACTTTGCAAATGATGTGCCGAGAAAGACATTTTCATTCGACGTCTAATCGAACGATGAGAATCTTAGTTTCTGAGTTCCTCACTTCTATGACTCGAGTTGTGTTCTTCCCAGCCCAACTCGTTGGTCGCCCATCTAACAGATGCTGAGATTGGTTTGATTGAATCATTTTGTGTTTTTAAATTGATCATATATATGGGAGGAGATCAATATTTAGCCAATTATTACTGCTACGTGTTATCTCTTTCATCCCACTAATTACTTATCGAGAAAGATAAACACATTACTGTATATATAATATACAGATGATGATTCTTAAGACAAAAAATTATCCTAGTATCATGTTAATATATTTCTATAATGTTTAAGAAAATGCAGTGTGATTGCTTCCGGGAAACAAAAGGTGAGAAAATATATTGTACAGGATAAGATCGATGGAAATCAAAGAGCATAAAGAGGAAGCAAATGGCCATGTGATAATCAATGGTTGCTGGATTATTTTATTTGTCATAGTTTAGTTTAAAAATAATAGAACTGCCAACTATCCTAGTAGTACTCTAATAATATAAGTAAGAGAGTTTTAACGAAAAGCCCGTGGTACTATTCACTTTAACAAAAAACTACATTTCTACACTAAAAAGTCAATCCTAGTACTATTTACTTTACCCTTTATTTTGTCCTTATCATTAAAACTCAAAATTTTCAAGCTATTTTTATTAATTTTTCTTATAATGTAACTAGCCAACTCCAAGGGCTGGCTAACAGTCCGACTTTGAATTGAGCCAAGATTGATTTGGTCAAGCTACATAGAAAGAATAAAGGGTTAATTACAAAAAAACTACCCAACTTTTTGAGGTGATTCTAAATTAGTCTTGATCTTTTAAAACACTACAAATCACTAATTAGCGTTTTGAAAATTAAACATTTGGTAGGTTAAGGGGGACTTTACCAACATTAATGATGATGCTACTAGAACTAAACGATGAAGTGGAAAAATACTAAAGTTAGTGTTCACTAATCGACGTCTTTGAAGTTCTAATCCCCCAAATTGACCCATATTAGTCAAGTGAAACCATAAATTTGCTTAGTTACATGTCAATTTGGAGATTCAAATCTCCATAGATGACTTGAGAGTTAAAACCCGCTTAATATTTGTTAACGTCATCACTGAACGTTAGTGAACCCAATAGATGTCCATTTTTTAAAACTTTAGGTGGTTAATTGGAATGTTTTAAAATGTTAGAACCAATTTGGAATCACCCTTAAAGATTGGGTAAATATTTAGATGACTTAACTCAAGAATAAGTAAAGAAATTATATTCAAGCGGAAGGTAGAAGATAGATTACTTGTGAAAAAACTAGTTAGCTTCAATCCCCACACAATGACATTAACACCTTACTAATTTCTTCACTTCTACTAATTGAATCCTTGACACCAAACGAGTCTCTCGTGAAAAATTATGAAGATATAATTTCTTTTTTGTTCTGAATCAGTTAGTCTAAGCTTTCTATATTTTAAGAAATTATGTCACAAACGTATGATTTATAAATACTAGCCTTCATGCACGCGCTCACACGTGTGCAGAAGGTATTTTTTGAATCACGGCGTGCTACGTGCCACTTACACGTTTAAAATATATTTATATACGTAAATTGACAAAAGGAAATCAAATATTTGAAGTAAATGAATAATCTTAGATTATGCTAGAAGAAACCCCTCATAAACCAATTAAAGCAACTGAATCCATATAATAAAATTGGTCTCTATTGAATTTATATTAAGAATAGAGAAAATAATATTTAACAAAAAACTGATTGAATCACATTATTGATAACCCATTGTGAGGTTAAGCCCACCCCACTTAGTGTAGATAATATTGTTTGTACAAAAAAAAAAAAACAATCATTTGACAACTAATTTAATCACATTATTATTCACATGCGAAATACTATTTTTATAACCGGCATTACACACCTCTTAAGATATTTTGAACATGTTTAAAAATAGAGAAAATAATATTTAATGAAAAACTGATTGAATCACATTATTACTAGCCTATTGTGCTGTACTAATTATTAAAAAGAAAATTGTACAGAAGAAATTAATTATTAAAAAAAACACTATTAAAATAACGAAAATACCCTTAACACATTTGATGCATTATTTTGAATTGCTTTTAAAGTTTTTTTGTTTGAGGAGTATATTTGGTGAAGTATGTGACACCAAAAAAATACTATTCATTGGGCCATTGATCAAGATAAAATTAGCAATAATTGACTGGTGAGCCCCACTTAAGAATATTCTATTCTATGCAAAAGTTGGAAACGGACGGCCAAAATATGCTAATTATACCAACATCATGACAGATCCAGATTAAAAACTGTGTTTATTCATTCACTAAGCTAAAATTAAGGCAAGGAAATATAAAAAACTTTTTATTACTAAAAAAGAAAAACTAAAATCATAAAAATGTTAAATAAATTCGGTATCTTAGGGCGCACGATACTTGTTTGAACGTAGACATTTTTTAAAGTGTCAGAATACGATCTGATATATTAAGTGTTATAATATTAATGATTGAATATTTAAAAAAATATTTCAATCAATTATATTATAACACTTGATTTGTAGACCGTTTTCTTAGCACAATGAAAAATTTCTTACTTGACACAGAACTCTTGTATTTACGGGGAGAGAGGTTGTGTGTAAAAAAAAACAATAAAAATTAGAGGGTTTTATATGGAAGGAAGGACACGTGTCAACAGATCTGAGCTTGTGGTCCCACGCCGCGGTGCCGAAACACGAGGGAATACTCCGGCAGCTCGCCGAGATCGGCGAATAGAGACTCGTCCTCTTCTCCCATCGGGAACACCATTGCCGCCATGTCCCCGGAGTCGGACCCGACGGAGCCGCCGCTCTCGGCGAAGATTGGGCTCTCGAGCACCGTCGATGACGTCGTCTCCATGTCGGCGAACCAGACGTAATCGTCGTTTACGAGAAGCGACTCGTGGTTTAGATCCGCGAACCTCGGGTCTTGCTCTTGGTCTTGGTGGTCGGGTTGCTGGGCCTCCGGGGTGAGGCCGGGTTTGGTTCCAGCGGCGGGAATTGAAATGCTGCGGTTGTTGTGGTGGTTGCGAGAGGCGGGCCAAGGGTGGTTGTGTTCGGCGGAGTAGGTGATGACCAGCATGGTGGGGTCCACGCGGCTTCTTTCCACTTGTTTCCTCGCCGGGCATCCCTTTGAGCTACTGCACCTGTAATACCCTCTGCCCAATTTGGTAAATCAACCAAATCCCACACAAAAAAGACACATAATTAGTCACGGATCACCAGCTATGTAAAAAGCTGCCAAATTCGGCGATATTCTAAACTGCTCTGATATATGTTACAATTTATTCTAATTTTGTATAAGGAGCCGGACACATGCGGTTAGGAAATGATTATTGGTAAAGAAAGTGAAATTCACACTTAGATTTAAGAGGGCGAACACAGTCTCTCGGCCAAACTTACTTAACTTAAATATATAATTACGAAGTTGATTGATTATTAGTAGAATTACCTGGGATAAGGGGAGCCTTTGATGGGTTTCTGGCCGTACTTTCTCCAAGCCCAAGAATCTGACGGCGGCGGAGTGTTGCTGTTCTCGTTTTTTATGGGTACCGACACTACTCGTTTCTGTATAGCTCGCCGAGCACTGTAACAATTGAATTCATGTAAATTAACGTGAACTTAAAAATCCCATTACTACCATTGGTTTGGTGCATGGAATTGAATTGAAATCTGGTTTATCTTGTGAATTGAGAACAAGAGTAAATTACAAACCTTTTTTTGGGGGAAGAGGTGGAAGTGGTGATCTTGGAGTAGTCGCTGAAATTGGTGGACGGCGGAGGAGAGTCTGAGCTGTTTTCCGGCGTGGAGGAGGTGGTGTTGTCATTCTCCTCCTGATCGCTCATAATCTGTTTGCTGTTGCTGCTGAAGAATGTGGGGTCCATTTTTGGAACTTTTGGAGCTCTGAATTTGATGATGATGCTTGCAGAGAAACACAAAGCGGCTGCTCAGAGCAGAGACGGAGGAGAGAGAGGTTAGAGAGAGAGAGGGAGATGGAAGTTTGTGGTTTGATGAGGGGGGTTTAGAAGAAGAAACAAATGGAGGGAGGTGTAAGAGTAAAGGTAGGGTCTTTAAAAATTGGTCGTCACATTGACAAATATGCGTTTGGATTATAATTAAATGTTGAGTGCATTTTTACTCACCATCATTTATTGTGGTGTATGTTCATCATTTTATTTATCATCGTTAGATGAGTTTGAATTTTGAGATTTGTTCATATCCACTACACGAATCTCGAAATTTAAATTCATCTAATAATGATAAATAGAGTAGTGAGTATACATCACACTAAATAATGATGAGCAAAAATACTCTCTTAAATATTTATGTTGAATTCAGGACGTGCAACCAAATGTTTTTTTTTTTTAATTTAAACACCCCAATAATTGGATTTATGAATTATTATCCATCTCCATTTTCTCCTTTCTTTTTCTTACCCAAACTAATCACATTGCAACACGAAAGTGACCTTTCTCTTTTTTTCCAATTTCCAACCAAATCTTTTGGGACGGTTGAATGAGTTTTACCAATTTAAAGGAATTTCTGTTTGTTTCCTTTTTAAATGTTGCATACGTCTTTTGATCTAATTTTTTTTACAATCCATAAGATATTACGTAGATACGTTTAACGGTTAGTCAGAAAAAGCACAACATACTATGGTATTACAATTGGACTAGCCGCAACTAGGTATTCACAGGACGGCTTTTAATGATCTGGAGTAATCATGCTAAAGTTTGGAGCTCAGTTAATGCCTGGTATTTAGGCACATTGTTATATATGTTTGTCTATTATTTTGTGAGTTTGCCAACACCTACTCCTTTTTGATTGGGTGCATTTCTACTCACCATCTTCATGTGGTGGTAATATTCACCACCATATTTATCATCGTTGGATGAGTTTAAATTTTGAGATTTGTGTATATTTACCACACAGATCTCAAAATTTAAACTCAGGGGACCAAAAAACGCTTTTCGTTTTCTCCCCTTCTTTAGGCCACACTAACTTCCTTAACAAGCCCTCAAACCTCCTTTGTGCTGCCTAATTAAAATGAGGAATTAGTAAAATATGCCAAAAAGAAAATAGAGGAGCAGTGAACATCGGCACGTGCGTGGAGGCTAGGGCAAGTAAGTTCACATAAGGGCCTGAGCTCATATGTTGTACTCTATCATTGGCATGGGTGACATTGATTCATTTGATTACATTTTACCTTTCAAAATCCATGTATGGCACCAAAGACCTCGAGAATACCTGCCGCAAGAATTCATAGGTTTGTTCACTTACCAGCACTAGTTTGTATCTTACCTTAGAAGTCAAGGGCCTGAGCTCATATGTTGTACTCTATCATTGGCATGGGTGACCTTGATTCATTTGATTACATTTTACCTTTCAAAATCCATGTATGGTACCAAAGACCTCGAGAATACTTGCCGCAAGAATTCATAGGTTCGTTCACTTACCAGCACTAGTTTGTACCTTACCTTAGAAGTCAAGTAGCCGCACTAAAATAGTGTGGTGAACAAAAATATTCCCTTTGTGATTATGATAAATAAACAAAGATATTAAGTATGTTCTTCCCGTTAAATTCAATGGAAACCAGGTTTTGTTTAGTTCACACTTCCTTTCCCTTTCCTCCCCAACCGATGATACGAATAGAATAGAGGCAAGTAACATTCAAAATATGATTATCTAAATGACATGATAATGTTATTTTATCGACTCATATTATATTAACCATGATGATCTCACCAAATTTGTTTGTCCTTTTTGTGTATCGAGGGTTCTTAGCTCTTAGCCCTATCTAATTCAAATCAATTTCCATTAATTAATATAAGAAAAGTCAAATTACACGTATTGTAGCTAGGTTAACAAATACCTCAATGACGTATATTAAACTTCTTTTCTTTATAGTGTCAGGCCAGTCTGTCAGGTAATGTGCTTGTTCCCTTACATCTGAGTTTGATTTTCAGTCTTACAAATTGTAGTAATTTTAAACATTAAAGAGAAAAACAAAACAAACATTAAACATGACAGAATGTTACGAACATACTAAAACTATTCATAACGAATTATAGCAATTTTTTGTTGGTGGTTTCATTGCCATAGATAATCCCAAAAGGTTGAAGATAATCATATTTTTTTAATAAATTGCAGAAAAGTTAAAAATGAGTACATTTTTAGGGGCCATGACTGAAGACAAGGCCAACTTCATGAGGAATGCTAAGGAATTCTTTTAAAACTAGGATTTTTTAGGGATTTCCTGTTATTTCATAATTTTATGTTAATTTTTGTTTCAATACTATAAAATATTGTACTAAAAATATGAGGTGACAAATAATCAATGAAGAGTCGTACTTTTGAAAAAATCTCAAATAACATTTGATAATTTGAGGCATTTGGCGTGGTCCCAAAATTAAAATTTTTGGCGTGAGTCTAAAGTTGAGCCTCAGAATTTGACCAAGTCAGTTGCAGTGCCCAATTGGCCTATATGTTACATCAAATTTATCAAAAATCCCTAAATATATACAAGTCTTCTATGGGTGAAGCAATGTATATGCGTATGGATACGACTTATATTATTCATTTGTACATTGTACGACTCTAAGATCTACTAACCCTAGGGGTTTTTTTTTTTTAAAAAATAAAAAATAAAAAAGCAGATGATAACTTTGCCACGACAGTTCCCAATTCTAAAGTCGGAAACTAACCCTAATTTTTATTGTAATTATTTTTATATTTTCATTTAATTTTATAATACAACATATTAATTGTAATAATTTAATTAATTTCGTATTCCTTCACCCGCTGCATCCATCATGGCCACTTTCTCAAACATATGTCACAGCTCACACCCATGTATATTTTTCAAGGGATGGGAAGGTTCCTATTGGCTTTCCTCAGTCATATTTTAAATTAGAAATGAATCTTCGATTTGAAATATTTTCCTAGAGCCAAACATATGCGTTTTACGCACGACATGAATGTTGAATAAGAAGCAGTATTATGACTATTAATTTATGTTCATATTTATGACTGCGATATGATAAGAGAGCGCCATATATTGGGTGAGTATATGTCGCATTAAAGCTTTGTGATCTTCCAGCGATTAAAATAGGCAATATTAACCAGCGGAATGTAACCCACATGTTATCCTGATCCGTATAATACTGAGAGGGTCAGAAGAGATATCACTCGATCATTACGGGGGTGGCTTAATGGAGGGGAAGAATTTTAGGTTCGTATTCCACATGGTATGTTTTGGGTTTGATTTTTGGTACTAGTTAATTACACAATAGGAGTAGTGAAAAGCTGAAATGTATATATACATAAGTCTTCCCAACCACCAAAAAGATAAACTGTAACTATGTCCAATTATTTTATTTGTGGGTTTGGGTGTGTGCACGAGATGGATTCACCTTCTTAAACTTTGTCCCAAGCCAATTTGGCATCTTAGCGGAATCACACCTAAACGTAAAACTAGAAGGAACTCTTGTTGACATATTCATAACTTAGCCAATCAACTTAGCACTGTGGTGTTACTTACCTAGCAATGGAGCAGCACTCAGTGGCTTCGTTGATTATTAGTAATAGAGGTTGTTATCGACGGCCGGAGTTAGACATGCCAGAGTGGCTTTCTAATATCCTAGCAATTGACACACAAAAAAAAAAAAAAAAAAAAAAAAAAACTTCTATGCAACATGTTTTAGTTGCGAGAAATGGTTGTCTATGAATGACAAACTCATTATAAGGTTTAGTCCACTCCCCTACTCCATTAGTGTAGACACTATCATTTGTTAAAAAAAATTTGATATTTTCTAAAATCACATCCGAGATTTTTTTATCCATAAAGTCTAACCAATCATAAATACGACATAGTGGTATAAGTTTGAGATGATGTTTATTGTTGAAGGTTGCTAGAAGCTAAAGAATGTGTCCCCGCAACATGTTGAATGCAACAATTCGATATCTAAAATGGAAGGGACACTAACTTTGGTAGACTTTAGATTTGTTTCTGACTTGATTTTGTGGGAGGGAGAGTGATGCATTTCCTCTTTCGGACCAACCATAGTTAGAACATAACTCTCAAACTACACACACACACACACACACATATAAGGACAGATTCGTGACACTAATTTTTTTTTTACACATGTTTTTGTGCAGTTTACTTGTAATGTATTTTAACAATTTGAATCATATCTTTTAGACCATAATTCATTGATTATCCTTGCAAAAGATTAGACAAATCCAAAACAAGTAAGATATTCATTTGTAGAGAACAAAATGGACGAACATGATCCTACAAAGAAACCTGAAACTCTTAATTCAACGGTCATATGGTTTTAGATTTTAATAATCTTTGGTAGATATAATATTTGAGAAAAAAATTAACAAATAAATGGTTTGAATCGTTAAAATTGTGTAAAAGAACACTATAAAAAATTGTGTAAAGAAAAAATGGTACCCTACGAATTAGTCCCATTATCCCAAATATGAATGAGGACAGTACCGTAGTCAGGATTTTCAAATAATGGGGTCATAGTATCAATAAAAAAAGCTTTATTGAGCCATTTCGTCAAGCATCTAGTATGCACCTTCTAATTCCTGTCAACGTATGCCGAAAGTTTATTCCGATATACGTCGACATTTGTAGAGGCTTGTCAACTGTGCATGCAGGATATTGTGCAGTAATGTTGAAGACTGCTAACGCATTTCAACTAAAGTATTTTTTACAAGAAGAGAGAAAAGGAAGACAAATATGATAGTAGGAAAAAAAAAAAAAAAAGTAGGAGGAGAATGTTGTAATTTAGTTTCCTTAGCTGTTTATAGTGATCAAATACAATATACAAACAAATTTATATGGGGTTTTTGAAGTTGTTGGGGTCAAGGACAACCAATGATCCTATATGGGCTCCGCCATTGAATGAGGAGTCTGCTTATCGTATATCGTGCAACCAGTTTTTGTTAGGTTCTGTTTATATTCAATTTAAAATAAAAAATTATAATAATTTTTTACTGCATAATATACGATGAATGAATACAATTGGAGAATCCCTAA